AACGTCATCACAGATGCAGGTGAGAGTATCAAAGATCCTCTTCACCCAAGAAGGTTCTGGTGCTTCTTCTCTCGGATGAGTCCTGCGTTGACGAGTGACGTGCTCCGTGGCTCGACTTCCTCCGGTACGTGATGACTCGGCTTGAGTCTCGTTTTGGCTCTCTTCTTCGTCTGCGACTACCAGGTCCAGATTTGGTGCAGCATCGCCCTCCTCACGGTACACGATCCAGGAAAACTTGGTGTCCTTGATGTAGCAAGTCTTCTTGACTGGAACCTGAGTGTCCCGAGTAAGGCCTATTTTGCAATGAGCAAGGATATGCATGATGGGGATGGCAAAATGGAGATGAGAAAAACGAGTGCCATCACTAAGTGCAACGATAAAGAAGTGAACCCAATCAAATTTGACATTGTTCAACAGGACGTAAAACAAACGAATATCGTCCTTGTTGACAACGCCATGGTTCGAATCACGGGGCAACAAAACAAAGGAGAAGATGTATTGTTAGACGCGTTGAATCAAAGTGAGGTTAATGACACTCGGGTTGCTAGAATTTCTAAACTTGAGGTCACGATGATCTAACCCGAGTTGTCGCCAAATCGCCTCATCTTGGAATGTTTCATCCAAGTTTTCGGTAATTTCACCTCGACAAAGGCCAAACAGAGAAGTCAAACCGGCACCGTCAATGAAAACGGTTTTGCCGTCAACATAGGAAATGAGAGATGACGAGTCTCCCTTAGTGGTACGAAGATTTGCATAAAATTGACGTATAAGATTTGGACAAAAGAATTCATACGTCAAATGGATGAAACGAAGCAAACCTTGCTGAGAGAAAAGAGACTTACTCGGGGCATAGGTTGCCGATTTGAAGAGGTCCTTGTGCACAATCTTCGGTGAGACAATCTCCTTCGTGAGAAAGGTGTTGTGGAACCTTTCCGCTAATGCTCCCGTGTTGAATGCAAGTCCGGTTTGGATGTGGATGTACTTGCTCCCTTCACGACGCCATGGGCGCTCACCTTCTTCCGCCGGCGATTCTTGACGCGAGGTGCGGTTCTTGCACCTTGGCATCCTTCCACTTTGAAATTGATGATGTTTGGTGAAAATTTAAAAAAAAATGAAGGAATTTGTGAAGAATTTGTTGAGGAAATCGAAGAGGGTTTCGCACCAGAGACTAGGGTTTCGCAGCAGAGATAATTGGCTAAGAAGACGAAGATACGGTCTCTGACTTTATTAAATAAAAAAACGAATATTAATCTATTAATAAAGGTGCTTTAATCGATTAAGGAACACAGCCGAGGCCAATCGATTAAATTAAACTGATTAATCAATTAGAAGTGAAGCAGAACCAAAGACGTTTGCGCTGAAGGCTATTAATCGATTAAACAAAGACTGTTAATCGATTAAGATGGACAGACGCCTCTAATCGATTTCTCTTTGAGGAGTAATCAATTAAAAACAGTTTGGTAGAAAAGAAATCATTAAGTCCAATTCGGTTGAATGGCAAGGGAAGAGATACCTGCAGTACAAGCCCTGCAAAAAAAGAATTTATCGCGCCTCCGACGCTCAAATTAGTAAAGTAAAATAAAAAGGAATGAATTAGTTCATAGAGATATCCAAAATGCCAAGTTCGTTCCGAATGTGGAAGAAACTCTCCCTACAAAGGGGTTTCGTGAAAATGTCCGCCAATTAATGTTTCGTTTCAACAAACTCAATTGTGATATCTCCCTTTTGGACATGATCTTGTATGAAGTGATGCCTAATTTCTATGTGTTTAGTCCTCGAGTGAAGAAGGGGGTTCTTCGTTAGACTAATAGCGCTCATATTGTCACACCTAATTGGGATGTGATCAAGTATAAGGCCGAAATCAACTAGTTGCTATTTTAGCCAAAGAATTTGGGCACAACAACTTCCCGCAGCGACATATTCCGCTTCGGTGGTGGAAAGTGCAACACTAACCTGTTTCTTACTAAACCACGAGATTAACGAATGACCGAATAAGTGGCAAGTACCGCTGGTACTTTTCCTATCGAGTTTGCAACCTGCAAAATCCGAGTCAGAATAGCCAACAAGATGACATGTCGAACCTTTGGGATACCAAAGACCTACGTTCAACGTGCCCGCGAGATATCGCATTATCCTTTTGATCGCAACCAAGTGTGACTCTTTAGGACATGATTGATACCTAGCGCATATACAAACGGAGTACATGATATCTGGTCTACTCGCGGTAAGATAAAGTAAAGAGCCGATCATACCTTGGTAGCGCTTGATATCTACCTCTTTACCTTTTTCATCCTTGTCGAGATAGAAAGAGGTGCTCATTGGTGTGTCAATGGATTTGGATTCGGTAACATCGAATCTCTTAAGCAATTCCCTGCAATATTTCATTTGACACACGAATGTCCCTTCTTTGCATTGTCTAATTTGCAGCCCAAGGAAGAACTTTAATTCTCCCATCATCGACATTTCAAATTCACTTTGCATCATATCGGAAAAATCCTTGCACAAAACCTCGTTAGTAGCACCGAATATGATATCATCTACGTAAACTTGAACCAAAAGGATGTCTTGGTTATCTTTCTTGATGAAAAGAGTAGTGTCAACTTGACCCCGTTTGAACTCATGGTCCAAAAGAAATTTGCTTAACCGTTCATACCAAGCACGAGGTGCTTGTTTGAGACCGTAAAGCGCCTTTTTGAGTTTGAAGACATGTTCGGGAAACTCATAGTCATCGAAACCCGGGGGTTGTTCGACATTAAGGAAGGCACTTTTAACATCCATTTGATAAAGTTTAAAATCCATCGTAGATGCAAAAGCAAGTAATAAACGAATAGCTTCTAAACGTGCAACCGGTGCATAGGTTTCTTCATAATCAATGCCTTCTACTTGATTGTAGCCTTTAACTACAAGCCTAGCTTTGTTTCTAGTGATTACTCCATTTTCATCGAGTTTGTTACGAAACACCCATTTTGTGCCAATAACGGAATGATCATTAGGTCTAGGCACTAATTCCCAAACATCATTGTGTTTAAATTCGTTAAGCTCCTCTTGCATTGCCATAGACTAATGTTCATCATTAATAGCATCCAAAATGGTTGTTGGTTCAATTTGTGAAACAAAGGCCATGTGATTAATTGTGTTCCTAAGAGAATTACGAGTAGAAACTCCCTGCGTTATGTCACCAATGACATTGTCAATCGGGTGATTCTTCAACGTTCTCCACTCCTTAGGAAGCTCCGTTTGCTCCTGCGTTTTCTCTTCTTCCGGTTCTTTTTCCTTAACGATTTCTTCTTCATCGTCATAAGAACCTGCAACATTGTCAACAATACCTTTTCTCGCCAAGCGAGCATCAAATTCATCGAAAACAACATGAATAGACTCCTCTACGGTCTTAGTACGCTTGTTGAACACTCTATATGGCTTACTACGAAGAGAATAACCTAAGAAAATTCCTTCATCCAACTTAGCATCAAATTTTCCCAAGTTATCTTTTCCATTATTATGAATAAAAACTTTACATCCAAAGACATGAAAATAGGAAAGGTTAGGCTTTCTTCCTTTGTAAAGTTCGTAGGGCGTTTTCTTGAGTATCGGTCTAATGACGGCTCGGTTTAACACGTAGCACGCGGTACTCACGGCATCTGCCCAAAAATATTTAGGAAGCTTAGCCTCATTGAGCATAGTTCTAGCCATCTCTTCAAGAGACCTATTTTTCCGTTCAACCACGCCATTTTGTTGTGGTGTATGGGGGGGGCGAGAAGTTATGCTCAATGCCTAATTCTTCACATAAGGCGTCAAAGCCATCTTGATCGAATTCTCCCCCATGATCACTTCTAATGGATGAAATGTGACAATCTTTTTCATTTTGAACCAATTTGATAAATTTCTTAAAAACATTAAGTGCATCATACTTATGAGCAAGGAAAAGTGTCCATGTAAACCTCGAATAGTCATCAACGATAACAAAGCCAAAGTAATTTCCTCCTAAACTCATAGTCCTTGAAGGTCCAAAAAGGTCCATGTGCAAAAGTTGTAATGGCCTAGTCGTAGAAACAATGTTCTTTGACTTAAACGAGGCCCTTACTTGCTTCCCCTTTTGACATGCATCACAAATTAGATTCTTCTCAAACTTAAGTTTAGGAACACCAATTACTAAGTCTTTAGAAACCAACTTATTAAGATGGTCCATATTAACGTGAGCTATCCGACGATGCCATATCCACGTTTCTTCCTCTTTGGTAATGAGGCACTTAACTAAAGTAGACGGGGAATTTTCAAGATCAAACATGTAAATGTTATCTACTCTACTAACACAAAGAATAGTCTTATTGTCACACAAGCGTTCTACAATGCATTTACTAGAATCAAAGATGACAAGGTTACCTCTATCGCACAATTGACTAATACTAAGAAGGTTGTGCTTGAGGCCCTCAACAAGAAGAACGTTCTCAACGGTTGTAGCATTGTCTCTCCCTACGGTGCCACTTCCAATGATCCTTCCTTTGTTGTTGTCACCAAAAACGACATTGCCACCTTTGAAATACTCTAAACTCCTAAATTTGGATGCGTCTCCGGTCATGTGCTTGGAGCATCCGCTATCGAGATACCAAGAGGTACTCGAAGCCTTCAAGCACACCTACAAAAAGATATCAAGGAGACGGTTTAGGTACCCATGTATTGTTGGGTCCTTTTTGGTTAGCATATGTGCGATGTGTGTGCGTTTGTTGAAAATGCCTAATTTTGGTGAAGCACAC